ACCCTTTAATGTATTAGGTAGGTAGTTATCCAATGATTAATAATCATTTTCTCTCTCCTTCTTCTATTGGCTGGAATGAGTTTAAGATCTTCCTTAAGGATGAGGGCTTAAGGACCTGATCTAACCCGGTTCTGTGGTATACAATGGAGAAAGGGGAAAAAGGAACTGGGTTTTGACTTTTGCGTAAATCGACCGGCAGGCAAATTTGTGGGAGCGGAGATGGATTTTCGTGCAGGAAGGGGAAGTGACACGGAGGAAGGCGGTTTTTGTTACACGAAGGGGAGAGAGAAAATAGTCCCACCCACCAGCCACCTCAGCATCCGAAAAACGCTCTAAGAGCTCAGAATTTTGAATTAGGGTTGCAGTTAAAAGTTTCCACTATAAATGATACGGTAGATTCAAATTTTCAACGCAAACAAATATGAAATATGAGTTGAAATGAATGAGAGATAGTCCATAAAAAAATAATGGGGAATGGATGGATACGCAGTATGCATAAGCTCATGGTTATGCACCTAAGCTGCTCACTATTTTAAGAAGAATTCAATTACCTTTTATGAATTTTGACTTCTCTCACCCTACAACCTATCATTTATTTTTATTTCTAGCATTTTTCGTCCAATGAACACCGTCTTCTTTCTGTATATCTATAGTTTGACTTTATTCAGGTCTCTACTGCTCATGAATCCGTTAGAATTTCATCACTCAACCTTTTGCTTCTACTTAATTGTTGCCTGGGAATGATTCAACGACTATGGTCGGTACATTTTTGTAGATATTTGTACTTCAACTTAGCTAAGTTCACCGTTATCCCAAAATTCATTCGACATAAATACCTCATTCATAGTTACACATCTCTCCTCTCCAATCAATTCTAAATAGTAAGACTTCCTATCCAATCAAAAATACATCAATTGCTTTATGCTGACCTCAAGCTAAGTCATGCGATGTATTTATTATAATATTTTGGGTAAATACAATATATTAGCCACAACTATTATGAAGTGGCGAATTATAGTCACAACTATGAAAATTCAAATTATTAGTCATAACTATTGTTGCGGGTCAAGATATGGCTAACTGTCTGTTACTGTTATTGAATTTTTAACGGAGAAGACCACGTCATCGGTCACGACAGCAGTCACGTCGGACTTCTTTTAATTTATAACTTTAAAACATAAAAGTTTTGTCAGTATTACTAACAGAATTGTTAACAGATAATTAACGTTTGGCTAATAATTTGAATTTTCATAATTGTGGGTATAATTCCCCGCTTAATAATAGTTGTGGCTAAGATATTGTATTAACCCTAATATTTATTAAGGAACTTAGTTGCATGATGTGAAGAGAACGCTCAAGCCTCCAGTTACCCTCAAAGAGATTTAAGAGTTCATCATTCAATCTCAACAAAATGGTGATGAAAATAAAAATAAAAAATTCAAGATTGAGAACTAAATGGCAAAATATTTGGCACCTTAGCCTCCCACAACAACAATCACATAACCGGACCTCACTCTTGAGGAGAACTGTTAATATTGGGGTTAATATTGGGTTCGTAGAAATTCGAACACACGACCACTTGGTCAAACCAGCTCTGATATCATGTCATACACTAGTTGATCCCAATAACTCAAATTGTCGAAAGAAGGTTATGTTGGATCTTATACAACACTCTAACAAGGAGTTCATCTGAACAATCAGGCTATTAACTTAACATTATGACCCACAATTCTTACTTCTCTTTGAACCCCAGATTAACGGCGATCGAGCTACTTTTTGGTGGATTATTCTAGTCTTTGTTGAATTTTGCCTTATACATGTTGAGGGTAGAAAAGGTGGGATTTGTCTTGCTTGAAAGCCAGATGACTATCGGGTTCAATACTAGATTCTAGCAAGCATCATATCACATATCTCTATCACAACACGTTGAGATTGGCTTCTAATTGGTGTATATTGGTAGCCCATAGTATAAATTTCATTGGCTTATCTGGGAGCAACTCATTGAGACCAACCAAAACCTCGATCTCCCATGGATTGTCTCCAGAGATTTTTATACTTATTCCCATCGAAAAAAACAGGTTCTGCTTCCTATTCATCACTCACAGGTTGTCAATGCTTTTTCTAATTGGATGAATAATGCTAATTTGATTGATTTGGGTTTTTCAAACTCGCCCGGGTCTGAACTCGCGGCTACTCAATCAGTGGATGATGATGGAGTTTAGCATATTAGCTGACCTATTGTCGAACTCTAAGGGGTCGTTTGGATGTGGAAATTTTAAAACGTTGGAATTCGTCTGAATTTCCACGTTTTTACAAAACCAAGGAATTGACTTGTGAAAATTGAAAAAAAAGTTTGGATAGGGTTTAGTTTTGCAATTGATGGTGTGGAATTTGGAAAAAGAAGTAAGAAAACGTGGTAATGTCAAATTACGAGGGGGAGGTGTAGTATTCTCAATTACCATGAATGTGGTAATTGAAGCCAATTTCCATGGTCCAATTCCCATGCCACTTTTGCTCTCCCAAACGTGGGTTTTTAACTCAATTACTGCATTATGTAGTAATTGGGTCCAATTACTACATTACATTTCCACATCCAAACGACCCCTAAACCTATTTAGCTATGTATTGTACTCTCTCTCTATATATATATTTTTTCTTTTTAGTGCTACTTGTACTTTCCGTGTTCAAGGTGATATTTAAATAAGTAAGTAGTAAGTAAGTGAAGTAGTGAATTTCATTATGAAAAGATTGAAAGACCGAGACTTATAGTCGCAGATCGGGAAAAGATGTACAAGTTAAACCTTTCATCACCATTTTGTGAAAATCATTAGGTATGCTAGTGCCCTGCTCATTTGTCATTTTGTTTTCTGTTTCTTGTTGCGACAATGAGAATTAAGAAACAAATCGAAAAAATGTGTTCACTTGCTCTTTTGTTTTCGTTCAATAAAAAAATGGCACAAATGAGAAAGATGCGAGGAAAAGATAAATACTTGTTTCTTGCAAACAATGGAACGGGTTTCTCCCCGTTGCCAGCAAAAAAACACTACTATAGCTAAACGAGACCCTGGGTTTGAATCCGCCCAGACTCAATTTATTATCTCTTTTTACTTGACCTATCCAGCGAACCCACACGCTGCCGTTTTACTTCTCCAACCCTATCATCCATCGACATCTTCTCCCCTCTCCATTGAGCAAAGCGGTCGCCTCCACCCAAACTCAAGCCTCGTTTGGAGGATGAGATTTCCATTGATGTATTTAACCAATACATGAAATCATAAGATTCAATCCTTTTTTTGCTTCAATTGGAGTTTGAATACTTGTATTTACTTTTGGGGGCCCTGCATATAATCCCTCGTTTTGAATGATTTACCAATCTCTACAAATATGTGAGATTGTGAAGCAAGGATTGTGGTCAGCTTTTTTGTTCCATTAGTAACCCTTATAACTTTCATTTATTCAAGGATTGTCCTCGCCAGCATCTTCTTATCTCTCCTCATATTCGAGGCATTCCAGGAAATAGAAAACAGAGAACAAAAAAACCCTGGCAGCATCTTCTTATCTTGTCGTCGGCCTCATCTAGGTCGACGAACCAAGGATCCTCTTCTTCTCAACAACGCGTTGTCACCAGCCTTCCTCTTGTACATCCCGACATCAGACGACTAGTCGGGAATCAAAGCGTAAGGGCCACAATCAAACATGTATAGGAGCTCGTTAATAATTGGTTAAAACAAACAGGTATGTACCTCAATCCTACTCAAGTCCCATTTGTGATTGTTGTATGTAATCCTTTCTCTTTCTGATTTTGTAACTTGACGTCCATTTGCAGGTCATGGCAAGGTGCCCCAAGCAGAGGAAGAAGGCCGTCATTGCGGCAGTGGCCACGTATTTGAACCTCTTGTTCAGTTTCTTCAATCTCCTTATACGATATTATGAGGCATTAGAATCTGAACACGAGCAGGACGTAGAACATGTTTCATCTTGGGAGACACCAATTGCTAGACAATTAGCTAGGAATTCTTTTATGCGGTGTATCGTTTACCATGGCGACATATCTAGCATTGTGCTTGTTCGAATGAATTGTAGGACTTTTCAGAAGCTTTGTATGCTTCTTAGAGATGAGGGAGGTCTTAGGTGTAGTTGGAACATTGAGATAGATGAAATGGTTGCAATCTTCCTTTACACCATAGCCCATAATGAGAAGAATCGTCAATTGCAAGCTACCTTCCGCCGTTCAGGAGAAACAATTTGTAGGGCGATCAAATTGGTTCTACGTTTGGTTTTGAAACTTCACTCTATCTTACTTCGTAAACCCAAGTCGGTTCTCCATAATTCTGATGATCCAAAATGGAAGCACTTCAAGGTATTTGCTTCTGATTTTGTTACCAAGTATATGAATGGTATGTTTTTTTTTTATACATTTGATAGTCCCTGATGTTTTTCTTACAGAATTGCCTTGGGGCTCTAGATGGGACAATTGTCAATGTACGTGCAACGAAAGAGAATCAAGAAAGATACTACTTTTAAGGGAACGATTGGAATGAATATCCTAGGTGTTGTTGATCAAAATATGGAGTTCATTTATTGTTTGGCTGGTAATTGGGAGGGGTCGTCTCATGATGGGAGGATTTTGAGAGATGCACTTATTAGGCCCAATGGTTTGAAGGTTCCTAGAGGTTTGTTAAAATGCTTTCTTGCCTACAGAAGTTGGATGCTAGTCTATTTCAATTTAACTTGTGGTGTAATAATGCTTTCTTGACAGGTTACTACTGCTTATGTGATGCTGGTTACAGCAATTGTGAAGGGTTCCTATCTCCTTTTCGAGGTCAACGTTATCATCTAAAAGAGTGTGTGTTGGGGGGGGGGGGGGTAGACGACCAAGAAGTCCTGAAGAAATGTTTAATATGAGGCATTCAACAACAAGGAATGGTGTAGAACGAACTTTTGGCATACTGAAGATGTGTTGGGCAATCTTGAGAGAAACCACTTGGTTTTCAACCAAAATGGTCACAAAAATCGTCAATGCCTGTTGTTTGTTGCACAACTTCATTCGTGGAGAGAATGGTGCTGATGTGTTTGAGCGTTTGTACGTTTATGAAGACCCAGATGAAGAACCTGAAGATGTGGACGAGGATTTGATACTTCATATTCAACCTACAGTTGAGTGGTCAGATTTTAGACAAAATTTGGCTCAAGAGTTATGGGCTGCTAGGAGTTGGGTTACTAGTTGATTTAGGATGGGAAGAGTCTAAGAAGAGTTATGGGCTGCTAGGAGGGAATGTCTAATGGTTAGGCAAGTTATGGTTTCCAATGGTTGGTTAGGGAAGTGGTCTTTTGTAATTCCCCTTTTGTGTACTGAACTAGTTCGTGGCTATCCTGTTAAGTGGCCTAACTAAATGATTATGATGATGTAACTTGATTTGAAACTAATGTTCTTGTCTTTATGGAGGTAGTTTTGAAAGTACTATGTGTGAGTGGTCTCATTTATGATGGCATAAGTGGTTAAACAGTAGATAAAAGATTGCACAAAGATATGCTCATTTATTTGAGTTGTTATTCAGTTGTTGGTTGTATTCAATGTTACTTCTGCATAAAAAGGGATTCAGTGGGTTGTTCAGGGACTCAAATTAGATCTTGCATTTTGCAAACTGTTATACTGCCTGCCTGGTTAGTTCCTATTACTAGATTTGTTTTGCAAGTTTTCATAATAGTGCTGGTATGTTCGTTCTTTCTGTTCATTATTCAGGTTTAACTGAACTGTTCTTATTGTAGCTGCTGCGTAACAACTGGAGAATGGCTGGAAATGGTTCGAAATGAAGGAGATGATGGTGCAATGAATGATGCTGCACACGGAAGGTTGAGGGAGTACAACAAATGGACAGAGAATCATGATGTTGTCTTCATCGAGTGCATGCTGGACCTAGTTCAATCTAGGGAGGTTGAGTATGGGAACTTGAAGAAAGGGGGTTTCAAGAAGCTTGAAGCTATGATGGTCAAAAAAATTCTAGGATTTAACTTGAATGTGAGATCCAGGCATCATTGGTTCAAGAATAAGTACAATGCGATATATGACGTCCAGAATGGGAGTTGCAGTGGGTTTGGATGGGATGAGTCTAAGAAGATCATTGTTGCTGATGATGATGTTTTTTGTACAATTCTAGGATTTAACTTGAATGTGATGATGTTTTTTGTACAATCTAGGCATTGTTGCTGATGATGAGTCTAAGGTATCAGTCGTTTTTTTTCTTACAACTACCTATTTGTGGTCTTATGTACAACCTTGTTGACCAGTTTCCTTCCACCTTTGTCATTTTTGTAAGACCTTAGGTAAATCCCACATCGACAAAGCACGAGAGAGATCCAGGGTTCATAAGTAGGAAACCGACCTTAACTGACAAGACGCATTTTGGGGTGTAATGGAAGAGTTCTTGTGAGAACTCCGAAGTTTTGGGGTGTATTTGGACCGGTTTTAGCAAACACATGTTGTTAAAAGCCTGTTTTGTGCATTTTTTGAGGGGGAGAGCTGGGTTTTGGATCCCAAACACCCAAGGGACGAACTAAAGAGAGAGAGGGCCATTTGAGGGCAACCTTGGAATGGAATTGGAGGATTTCTTCACCTTGGAAGCTCGAGGAACAATCTCGGACTTGAAGACTGATCATCTGAAGATTCTTACTGCACTCTCTCTCTCTCTCTCTCTCTTCTCTATGGAGTAACTTCCCTTCACTTAGATTTTGAGGAACCCTAGCCATGTTTGTTTGATTGGATGATTGTATGAGTACTCTTACTTGATAATCTTGAGTTCATATTCAATCTATGCATGTTTTCATGATTAAATTCTGCTTTAGTAGAGATTATTGATTCTTCTTTGATCCTATGAGAGCGAATACCTGATTAGGTCAATAGAGCACCATAGATTGATAGTATTGGATCGATTGCTTTAGTCGAGGGTTAACTCAATAGAGGGAGTCTATTTCAGAACTCCTTGATCGGTTGTTCTAGAGAAGGATACGTCCCTCTAGGCAATCGACTCAAGAGAGCCTTGTTCCTTTAGTCGAGACTCAAGGTCTAGTCAAGGATTCTCCGCATTGAGAATGAAAGTGAAACAGGTTAGAGATCATCAATCATTAATCTGGCTAGTGTCTAGGGGGAATCATACCTAAGTGAGTTCCCAACCTGTAATTAGATTAACTTTAACTGTATTTTGCTATAGTAGTTTTAGTTCTTCCATCTTAATCTGGTTTGCTAGATAATGAACTGAAGTAGAGTAATAGTAACTCTAGAGACCCGTGGATTCAGTATTTATTACTGGAGCCACTATACTATAGTCCCTTTCATTGGTTACACTTGGCCATTGTTAGGAGTTGTGTCATAGCGAGTCAAATTTTTGGCACCGTTGCCTGAGACTTTCTAGATTATTAGGAAAGGCAGAAGTTTGTTACTTTAGCATTTTTCTTTTTTTTTCCACCCTTGCTTTTCACTTGGGTGTTTTTGTTGGTGTAGATCTGAATCATGGATCCTCATGGCTTCTCCAACCATAGGGGGTATCCACCACCATCCGAGTTGTATTACCCCGAGACTTCCTGGAGCAATCAAGGAGGAGATGACTATGGATTCGGGTTCCAGTACCAGCCCCCTTACTACGGAGAACAATCAAACCCCTGGGCATATCAAGAAGAATTTCTCCCACAACCAAAAGGGCCATTGGAGCTGGAGTTAGCCATGGCGGCCTTCACGGGCCATTCTGCAGAGCCATGCTACACTCCACGGCCAGATCCAAACTATGAATTGAGGCTTCTCGTGGAGCAGTTTGCTCGAGACACTGAGAGAACATACTCCAAGATGGATCTTTGTACCCAGGCCTATCGTGAAACAGAGGAGATCCTCCTGAGCATTAAGAAGAGCCTCGAGGATCTTGAGAAATCTTATGCACAGCCTGCTGAAGATCACCCTTCTGCTACTGTACTAGAAGAGGTGGAGGAAGACGAAGGCTACGAAGACATTGTGGAGCAGACAAAAGTTGTCACGGAGAGCTCCTGTGATGATCATGATAAAAAATGTCTTGTCGTAGCCGACCACACCTTCCCACATCCCACATAGAGCTTTGAAGAGGAGGGCATGAGTGAGGAGATGAAAGATGATCTCATCGAAGAAATTGCTTGGTGACTTGCTCTCCAATCCGTGCTGGAAGAAGAAGAGTAAGAAAGGGTGCAGAAAGAAGTTGTGGAGGATGACGGAGGTGAATTAGAGGAAGTTCTTGACTTTTCTGAAGGTAGGAATTAAATTTTGAAGAAGGTAGGGGAGTAGAAGAAGCAATTGGCGTACATGCTAAGAATGAAGTTGAGGTGGAAGAGGCTCGCACCGCCATGAGTTCCATGTAATATCTCCACCAAACTTCGAAGACCTGCTAAGAAAGGACTCATTTGTAGTGTCTCTTTGCCAGACCAAGGCCACATCAACATTGGTCCCTCTTGGTGGACACGATGGTGGTCACTCGGTGTTGTCATATCTGGTTTGGGGCAATAAGACAAGAGAAGAAACGAAGGAGAGGTCTCGTGTGTGGAGACTACATCCTCGAGCGCATGAGCCTTCATCACCTGCTACACCACCTACTCGTGACTTGAGACTCCACCTCATCGACGAGAACCTCAACTTCAAAGAGGTTTTGGGGTGGACCCAAGCTTAGGAGTCACTGTCCGGCTCACGACGTGAAAGAAGCGCTTGTTGGGAGGCAACCCAACCAGTCGGTTTGCATTTCTTTCCCTATTTCTCCTCGGTTGAGTTACTTTTGTTCTTTGATTTTATGTCAATAGCTCAACCTTTGCGAGATTTTATGTGGTATTTGTGTTCCGAATACTCTCTCCTCCTGGAATGCACTGCATACCCCGTCCACCATCATTCACACTTGATCTGGTAACTTCGTTCTACCCTCCTTATCTTTCCTCCATTGAGGACAATGCCGTGCTTAAGTGTGGGGGATATTCGATTATATATGTGTGTGAATGTTTGTCTGTATGTGTGTGCTTGGAGCCTAGTCCACTATCCAATTTTTTGAATTTGAGGGCTCCAAGTATGTGTTCCCTGCAATTTCCTGCTCAGTATGTTTTGAATTGACAGCCTTTATAGTACTATGCAACCTAGGGAGGTAGTTGTAGCACTATGGAGGATGCTGAAGTATAAGATTTTTCTTATTTGTCTCCTTGCTGTGTCGGTTGATTGTGTGAACTAGTTGCTTTAGGACCTTTGATTCATGTGATATGGATGACTTCCGTTGTGTTTGGTCTTTTGTATCATAAGAAGGTGCTTAGTGTACTTAATGAAATGCAGTCGGTCCCCCCATGGCAATAATCTGACATCTTAAACATGGGGTAAGCCCAACGTGTGGCACCATTCATTTCACAAAATTGGGTTTTGGAAGATATTTTAGTGATCCTTAGTGGGGTACTCCTACAAGGTGAATCTAAGCTATCTCTAGTACAATAAAAATTCCCACCCGTTGAACGGTTTGCCTACTCGAGGATGTGCTTTTAAGGTCACAGATAGAGCTTCCGACCCCCCTTAATTTCATTGACCTTCCGCACGAATTGAGTAAAATGAGTTAAAAGAAGTATTCTGGCGAGTGACAGATGTACAAAAATTGTTTTTGCTCAACCAATAAGGGTCGACCGCGCATAACTGCAGTTGGAACCCCAATGGTAAATGAAATGAAAGAAAAATAAAAATAAAAAATGGAGAAAAAGGGGTTCCAACAAATGAAATGAGAAGAGAAGAGCACCTGATACAAGAGTCCAAGTTTGTGTGTGTTGTGTGAGTCTCTTTATCCATGAATTGTATGTCCTAGGTCCACTACTTCGCCTGATCTTGGTTTGAGTCTAGTAATTGCATTGAGAGATATAGGGGACGTCTTAGAAGACTGGTTGACCTCGTAAGCTGCTAAATGATCTAGGAAGTCTGCTACCGATGATCGAGGCTGCGTGTTCCTATAAAGTTCTGGAGAGTTGCATTGGTTTGAGTCAGGTTTGCTTGGGGACAAGCAAACGGTTAAGGGGGGGGGGATTTGATTACTTGATATTTGCACATGTTTTCCCCTCTGCTTCTTGATCGTTTAAGCTTTCATTATCGCTTCTTTGGCCTATTTTACGCTAGGTTGTGTTCCTTTGTCACATCTCAGGTCTTAGCACATAAAGTGAAGCATAGGCGCAAGTTTCAAGTCAATCGGAGATCAATTGGCAACTCGGGGGATGAAACTTGGGCATGACCTGAAGAAGAATGGATTTCTACCTCAATTTTTGACTATAGAATCATGTAATCTTATCATGAGAAGAAAGAGGACGAGACTACGAGCGTCTGGGATCAAACGACAACAGATTTGGAGTCCGAACGAGGGAGAAACGGAGAATCAAAGATAGGGGGACCCAGAACTGCAAAATACCCGACCAAAATACCCGAACGAGGTATTTTGACCATCTGATAGGGTATTTTTGACCGCAAAATACCCGACCGGGTATTTTCCATTTTACCCATAAAAGTAACCCGGAGCATTTTGTTGATACCCGACCGGTTCCCTAAATACCTGACCGGATATTTGGACCGGGTTTCGCGAACGCAGGCTGTTAAAAGCCTGTTTTGTGCGTTTTTGGAGGGGGGAGTGGGTTTTGGATCCCAAACACTTAAGGGACGAACTAAAGAGAGAGAGGGTGATTTGAGGGCAATCTTGGAGTGGAATTGGAGGATTTTTTCGCCTTGGAAGCTCGAGGAACAAGCCCAGACTTGAAGACTGATCATTTGAAGATTCTTACTGCACTCTCTCTCTTCTCTATGGATTAACTTCCCTTCACTTTGGTTTTGACGAACCCTAGCCATGTTTGTTTAATTGGATGATTGTATGAGTACTCTTACTTGATAATCTTGAGTTCATATTCAATCTATGCATGTTTTCATGATTCAATTTTGCTTTAGTCGAGATTATTGATTCTGCTTTGATCCTTTGAGAGCGAATACCTGATTAGGTGAATATAGCACGATAGATTGATAATATTGGATCGATTTCTTTAGTCGAGGGTTGATTCAATGCTTTGTATCGATTGAGAACCTCATTTGATAGAGGGAGTCTAGTTCAGAACGCCTTGATCGGTTATTCTAGAGAAGGATGCGTCCCTCTAGGCAATTGACTCAAGAGGGCCTTGTTCCTTTAGTCGAGACTCAAGGTCTAGTCAAGGATTCTCCGCATTGTGAATGAAAGTGAAATAGGTTAGAGATCATCAATCATTAATCTGGTTGGTGTCTAGGGGGAATCATCCCTAAGTGAGTTCCCAACCTGTAATTAGATTAAATTTAACTATAATTTGCTAGAGTAGTTTTAGCTCTTCCATCTTAATCTGGTTTGCTAGATAATGAATTGAAGCTGAGAAATAGTAACTCTAGAGACCCGTGGATTCAATATTTATTACTCGAGCCACTATACTGCAGTCCCTTTCATTGGTTACACTTGGCCATTGTTAGGAGTTGTGTCATAGCGAGTCACAAATCCCTCTGACCATCGACCCTATACAACTACATAACGACAAAGACACGAAGTGTGCTAAGGCTTGAGAATCAGCAAGTATGAAGATTTATTTCAACAACAAAGTTTTTAGAAGTGAAGAACATATATGTTGGTCAGTTCTAGCCATCAGGTACAGGATGAATATCGATAGCACAGCTCAAGACAACTCAGGGATAACTATAATGGGAAGGTGTCGTACGCGATAGTCAAGGTGATTCGAAGGGATAACTATAATGGGAAGGTGTCGTACGCGATAGTCAAGGTGATTCGAAGGGAGATTTTTTGTGTGCAGTAAACTTGGCACCGGGATGACCCTAGTAGCTTAACTCTAGGGGGATTTATCAAGTTCTCGATTCCACATGAAAAAATGTATTCAATTCCTCATCCACAAAATGAATTACTTGGCTAGCCATTGATTTGATTAACAAATGCACGTACCTTGTGCATCGATCCAAATAGGTGCTATTCATGGACTTTTGGCGCATGGATCGGTGGTTCTCTTAACTCATACATAACGCGACGAAATAAAGTCGCGAACTGGCTTTAAGAGCACAGTCTCGTCTATTCCTTTGGTACATATGAGTTAGAGGCCCTCTATCGGTTTTACTATTTTAGAAAGAATGCTCATAGAGGATATCACGGGAATTAGTTTTCCTCGATTAGTGCCACAACTGAATATCTGACTGTTGATAGGCTCTATTTTTTAGTATAATAAAGCTAGTTTGGTTAAAACTATGTTTATGAAACATTCTTATGTTTACGTGTGTCGCTGCCACTTGATAATGTTATCATTTTGGCCCTTAGCCTCTAGTTAATAAAAAATATAGTTTCACAACCATTAATGATAAAGCTAGCATTATTGAGAATAATTTCAATATAATTAGTTGCATAATAGCATCGTTAAAAGTAGTTTCATAACCATTAGTAATATCAGTCTCATCGTTGATGATATTTTCATAATCATTAATAATAGCCTATCATCTTTTCCATTATTGAGAGGTAAGTCATTCTATCATGATCACAAATACAATATGCTCTTCTCATATGCAAATACAACATAGTCTTCTTATACGCATATTTAGTTTTTCAATAATATCTTATGCGATTTGAGGAAGACACATATGACATACTTAATGACTAACCAGCATTGACCCTGGTATTACCTCATCATGGAATTACTAATGACTATTCTATTTCTACCAAATTAGCTATTTAATTTGGTGAAACTTATTTGACTTGAACAAGAGTCAAACCATCATTTAAAAACAAGTACTTGGTTGCCACTGCCACGTGTTTGACAGCGGAACCAACCAGCGGCATTTTTTGTTTCTTCCAAAAAAAAAATGAATAAATAAAACCAACACTTTTGTGGTGGCGGGTGGGGACCGATTCTCCTGCTGAGCTGCTCAGTAGCTAGCTGTACACTCCCATTAATTAATTAATATTTTTTTTCGTGAGGAATCTTTTCTTTTGCCTTAGAAAGACTGCTCTTCCCCAGCCAGCCAGCCAGAACCTTTCTCTTTAACCCTTTCCAAGATTTAAGTTTCATGCATATTCATTTATTAACTAAAAAAATAATTAATAATTTAATAACAATCAGATTATTTGCAAAGGTTACTTTCTGACGGTTAGAATTTCAAAAATTTCGCCTTTCTCTTCTTCCCCACTCGCTCGCTAACCCTATTGAGTTTTTGTTTCTTCTTTCCCGTTTCTAATTTCTTGCTTCGGTTTTAGGACAAACAAAAACAATCCGATTCCCATTGTTCCGTTTTACTTCTCCTCCTCCTCCGTTTCTTACATCCCAATCCCTTCTTCTTCTTCTTCTTCTTCCCACCAATTCACATCTTCCCATCGCAAACCCAAATCGGGCTTTCTTTTGAATTCCTCTCTCTCTTACCCAACGCACCGCCCTTCCATAGCGATGACCTAATAATTCCCTGTCTTCCTCTCTCTTTGTTTCTGCTTCCATCCTTTTTCTGGTACAATTTTGAACCAAACCCAGAAATTCAAATCCTCCCTTTTTCTGCTGCTGGGTTCGGGAGAACCCGTTTTCCCTTCTCGCGTTTGGAAATCATACAAGCATGAAGAGGGGGAAATCGGACACCCGATTGGACAAGTACACCGCCGTCACGCGGCAGCGGTCGTTTCACGTTCTCATTGCCTTGGGGGTCCTCTATTTCTTCCTCGTCACAGTGGAAATCCCAATCCTGTTCAACTCCGGGGCCAGCTCCTCCGTCTCCCCCGACGCACTCACTCGCCCTTCTAAGCTCCAGAGCGAGGAGGATTTGCTGGACAAGGACGCCCCTTCCCGCCCTCGCGCCTTGGTGTCCCACACCGCCCAGCCGGGTCCGACCCAGCTCCTCCCCGCACTCCCCAACAACATCCTCTCCAGCTTGAAGTTCGATCCGGAGACTTTTGATCCGGCCAAAAAGGACAGGTCTGTGGAGCTCCACAGGAGTGCCAAGACTGCTTGGGAAGTTGGCAGGAAGATGTGGGGCGAGATTGAGAGGGATGAGTTCGACTTCCTGGAGCTTAAGAAGCCCGAGAACCGTACTGAGTCCTGCCCCAACTCGGTTGCGCTGACTGCGTCTGAGTTTCTGAAACGCGGCCGGGTCGTGGAGCTTCCTTGTGGACTCACCATTGGTTCTCACATCACGGTGGTCGGGAAGCCCAGGGCAGCTCATGCGGAGGCTGAGCCCAAGATATCTCTGATTAAAGACGGTAGGTCGTCGGTTATGGTGTCCCAATTTATGATGGAGTTGCAGGGTTTGAAGATCGTGGATGGTGAGGATCCGCCCAGGATTCTTCACTTCAATCCGAGGTTGAAGGGGGATTGGAGTGGCAAGCCTGTGATCGAGCAGAATACTTGTTACAGGATGCAGTGGGGGACGGGTGTACGATGCGAAGGCTGGAAATCCAAGGCTGATGAGGAGACAGGTAAGCTTTTCTTTTGTCATTTTCTAGTGTGTCCATTTTCGGTATTTAGTTGATGATTGTGAGCTCTTGTTTGCCATCTTAGGTGTGTTCAGCAAGTATCTTGCTTTTGGCAGAAGTGGTGCTTGATTGGAAACAGGACGCAGAAAATGACACTGTGATCTGTTGTTATGTGTCTCCTAGAGTTAATATATAAATTTCTGTAGTTATCTAGTCTGTTATTGGAAATAGAAATGTGGCATTGTGAGATGGCTAAAGTGAGTTCTGTCGATCGGAAGTCATTCGACCCGTCTCTGTTGGAGCCCTATTCAAGTTAGGAAGCTTAATGTTTGACCTGAATTTTGCAACTTTACTAGTTTGGGCTTATGGCTTTCTCCCTGGACTGAGGATATGCTCCTCTTTGCTTGATTTGCTTATTAAAATGGCAATGCACGAACATTTGATGTCTGCAAAAACTTTTTAGCTTGTTATTATGTCCTCAAGATTCAAGCCTTCTTCTGATCATTGGTACTTCATACATTGTATTCTTTGCTTTACAGTTAATTGATCATAAAACCTTCCAAAGAATTAGATGCATATGCTGCTTGTTTCCAATTGGAAGCTCCATATACTTACTCCGTTATCTGCAGTTGATGGTCAGGTGAAGTGTGAGAAGTGGATCCGTGATGATGACAGTCACTTGGAGGAATCAAAGGCAGCTTGGTGGTTAAACCGGTTGATTGGTCGAACAAAAAAAGTGACATTTGATTGGCCATTCCCATTTGTGGAGGAGAAGATGTTTGTTTTGACTCTAACTGCTGGTTTGGAAGGTTATCACCTCAATGTTGATGGGAGGCACGTGACCTCGTTCCCTTATCGCACTGTAAGTAATAATCTTTTTTATTCCATGCCAATATGTTTATACAGGAACAATTGATAACATTAATTGTTAATCTTGGCAGGGATTCACTCTTGAGGATGCCACAGGACTAACTGTGTATGGGGATGTCGATGTCCATTCCATATTTGCTGCATCATTGCCTGCAGCACACCCTAGCTTTGCTCCTCAGAGGCATCTTGAGAAGTCTATTGTATGGAGAGCACCGGCACTGCCTGAAGGGGCGGTTGAACTCTTCATTGGCATTCTTTCAGCAGGTAACCATTTTGCTGAAAGGATGGCTGTTAGGAAGTCTTGGATGCGCCACAGACTCATTAGAACTTCACATGTGGTTGCTCGGTTCTTTGTATCACTTGTAAGTAATGTTTTTTAGGGTGAATAAGTAATGGTTTTTTTTCTGCATTCATGTTGGTTAATGCTGTCTTTCCTAGTTGGTGGATGATGAACTTGATTTGTGTTTTTCCCAGCACGCACGAAAAGAAGTGAACTTGGAACTGAAGAAAGAAGCAGAATTTTTTGGAGATATAGTGATAGTGCCTTACATGGATAACTATGACCTTGTAGTTCTAAAAACCGTTGCCATCTGTGAATATGGGGTGAGAAATTGCTGATTTCATCTCGAAGGAAGGTTCATTTTCTCAACAATCTGGTACTAATATAGTGGCTTTTTATTATTTCCAGGTCCGCACCGTTGGGGCAAAGTATATAATGAAGGGAGATGATGACACTTTCATAAGGGTAGAGACAGTTCTTGATGAAGCTAAAAAGGTTCCCGAGGGTCGAAGCTTGTATATTGGCAACATAAATTATTTCCACAAGCCCCTCCGACATGGGAAATGGGCTGTCACTTACCAGGTACGCATTGAGTCTCCTATTGGTTTATTTTCTATCCAGTTAGAAAGCATCCCGTGCCTGTGGCCAGCAAGTCAGCATGTTCCATGTAGTGAATGAAAATAAGTATTTCTGCTCAACAGGAGTGGCCAGAGGAAGATTATCCACCGTATGCGAATGGGCCTGGTTACATCTTGTCTACGGACATAGCCAAATTCATTGTCGCTGAGTTTGAGAAACATGAACTAAGAGTATGTGTTGTTCTTGTTTTAGCTACATTACTGTAAATTGTAAAATAGGCATAATCAGCTGACACAATAGTATCTTCTGGTTCGTTTGTAGCTGTTCAAGATGGAAGATGTGAGCGTAGGAATGTGGGTTCAGAAGTTTAACAGGATGAAAACAGTGGAATTAGTGCACAGCTTGAAGTTCTGCCAGTTTGGATGCTTCGACGGCTATTACACATCGCACTACCAGTCTCCAAGGCAGATGATCTGCCTTTGGGAAAAGCTGGAGAAGTTTGGTTTGCCTCAATGCTGCAACATGAGATGACAACAACTAATCAGTTTAATGTATACTGCGCCCTGTATTTCATTGCGAGGTACGAACCACCCCCAATATGACCTCATCGTTCCTCCCATCATCGGCATCACAATGACAGAGAAATGCCGAGACAGTGTAGTAATGTGAAGAGTAGACATTTCAGATATCCGCAGGACAGATGTGGGAGGTGGGGAAAAGAGGTAGAAGAAGCGTAAATGAGAGTTCTTTTTAAACTGCTTAATTGTAGGAATAAATTCTTGTATATATGCTTGTGAGGTCCAGGGAAACAAGAAAATTTTATAAGAGAACTCTGTTTTTCAGCTTCAAGAAAAATCGTTCTTTTTAAATTTTAACGTTCTGGTCTCAGGATTCAATTCACGTTACAGGAACTAATCTTAGTGAAGCAAACAATTCTTCTTTCCATCCTTTGATCATGGCCCATTTGCTGGCAATGGGTCATTAAGATACTACTTATAGCTTCGATGGCACATTTGGAAAGGGAACCTTTTTTTCCTATGTGTTCTGGCAGCAAGAGGATAATATAGTTTAGTATTATGACAGAACTAACTCAAGAAGAAGGAATCAGTCTTTACCAAAAAGGGCAAATTTGTGCATGTTTGTTTATGCTTTTTCCAGCCATTTCCTCCTGGACTCAGCTGTAGGTTCCAACTTCAATCATTCCACACTCTCGACCATGGACAGATAGCTTAGGCTAACTCCAACCCATAAAGGGGAATTTAGCTCCCCAAATAGCCAAATATGGCTTTTTAGCTCCTCAAACCCACTTTTCACTCCAACCCTATAAAAAGCTAAATTTAGCTTCCCATTTCCCTTTTTCAATTTATTTCAATAAACCATATTTATTTGACCTCTAATTTTCATATTTCACTTTAATTTTTTCATAGCTCGTTATTAGTTTTGAATACAAAATTTTCGATGTAATTTTTTTAAAATTCCGAGATAATTTTTTTTTCAAAAATTAGTCGTTAAAATATTACCGTTAAAACTTCGGGACCACTCCAAATATGACCGTTTATTTTGTTTGTCGCGTCCTTCAGGGCGAGTCAACACGAAAGGCGTAGCTCCTTCATCTGGTAAGTCATTAAGCCTTCCACGGGAGATGATTGAGAACCAAAACCTGTGGGAGAACTTTGAGAACCTTGCCCCATAGGTGGAATGGGACTAACAAGCAGGTCAGGATTGCAGTACCATTTTGGACAATTTCGAAGAATGTCGAAACAATGCTCAAAATCAAAAGCCTTGTTCCCATTCTCTTGCTTATATATTGCTCTTGCCTCCTTTTCCTTATAAAATAATTAGTACATGGGTTAGAGAAGTTTTTATTGACACATAAAAAATAAGAAAATACACAAGTTGAGGGTCCAAAAGAATACCACATCAAACTGGTTCGTGCCACTCGATTGATGCCTTTGTGCTCTTTGCAAAACTCCCTTCCAAGCATTGTAGTGATAGCAAATAATCCTCATTCGGGATTCCATTGCAATAGCAGTACGAGTTGTACTAGGATCCCATTTTTGATGTTCTGCCGCCACTCTGTCCCACAACCTTGTAGACTTCTGGTTGGTGCCAACCGCTCCATCTTCTGATATCGACGCCCAAGCTCTGCACAAGATTTCATCTTCATTCGGATGCCAATTAGGTCCTCTCTTGCCTGTCATATTTCTATTTTGAGAGACGATAACAATTGAATTTTGAGAGAATGCGATTTATGCTCTGAGAATGAGTGAAGAGAAATCTATGAAGAGTGCTGTAATATATAAGAAAAAATATGGCTGTTAAATATGACCGTTTTTTATGGCCGTTAAAATATGACCGTTTTTTCGTCACTACATCAATTATTTCAAATTTATATTTCAAATTGAATCACAAATAACCAATGAGAATAGAGAAAAAAAATCCAAAACAAATTCCCAACCAAAAAAGTTAAAAGAAAAAAAAAGGCCCAGCACGTCAGCTGGCCCATTTTTGGCAGCCAAATTTCCCTCCCCACCCCAAAACCCAGCCAAATATCCCTTCCAAAAATCCAATACCCATTTTTTTGTGGGTTGGAGGAAGAAAAAAAGCCAAATATGGCTTTATAGCATTTTGACACCATGGGTTGGAGCTAGTCTTAAAGACGGAAGTGGGAGGAAACAAACTCTAGGTTAGAAGAAATCATAGTAAAGAACAAAGCATATACTCATTTTGAATCGGAAAATTCTCAGTAAAACTGACTCGTCACGGTACACCGCGATTTAAATCTCAGATAGAGCTCAAGCATAAACTCTAGCTGGGTGCAGTATAGGGCAAATATGTTTTAATTGTCAAATCTGTGCCGGTCCATGTACCCCTATTTCAATCGCTTAGGTTGTTATCTTGCAAACGATTTTGGATTTAAAACTAAGAAAACTACCAAATAAACAAACAAGTAAAGTGAGGAGAATTCTATATGAGAGGACCTCACTTGGGTATTGCTTTCCATAGTCTCGTATTAAGAAAGCATGAACGAAACTCTTGTGTGAAGGACGTGTTCATATACCGTGACGTGGGTGCAAGTGCAACTAGGTAGGGAGAAACTCTCCTAGTTGATAAAGGTTTGTGACAAGAAGCTAGAGAATCTAGCTCTTTTAACCGATCAACCGAGGAAACCCTAACTCTCTTAGTTAACCAATCTAGGATTGTTGCATCAAGTTAGTGGTCTAACTATGTTAATCCTTCGGCTAAGGATGACAACAATAGTCTGAACGATCTAGCCCCTCTAAATTGGTAGACTAAGGGTTGTAAACCAATCACTCGGAACTTACTCCGGACGGCGGAGAGAAACCAATCATGGTGGGATCATGGTACTACTCCGATACTTGAGGTTTTGGCCCTAGATTAACCTAGAAGGGGTTACCCAAGAGGCCATGAGGTCAAGCTCCTTATGGACCAAAGGGGATTTCCACCCTCTAGGTTAATTTTGACCCAACAATGATATAATGTAAGCAACACTCACTAATCATGATTAATTTAAGGTTTGTCCTAATTTGCCTAGGTGGGTGACACAAATTGGCCAAAAATCCAACTTCTCAAAGCCTCTTTCAATAAGGAGATTCTCTCCACCTAGGTCAAAATGGCCAATCATGAGTTAAAGCTAGCACATTCAATCATTCATGAAAAATACCTCCAATATTATATATACATTCAATCAACACAATAGAATCAAATTTTTACAACCTAACACACATCTAGACTAGGATCCACAATACTCAAGTGAGCAGGGAGGCTATTCCATAGCTAGGCAAGGGAAAACAAGAAAAAGGAGAGAAAGAACCAAGAAGAGATGACAATCTTCCTTTATTGTTGCTTGAATCTCCCTTGAGAGGTAAGAATCTTCACTCGTCTAGCTTAAGGCAAGCCCAAATCTCCTTCTTTATCCTTTGAATGAAACTTTCTCTCTCTAGATTAGGAAGAGGAAACCCTAATCTCTCACTAAAATCCCTCATTTATTCTGAAAATTAAAACCCTAGAAAGCTCCCCTTTCTCCCTCCCAGCAACCTTCTATTTATAGAGCCCGATAGTTACTTTCACGGTCTGCACTTCACGGCCGTGACATTTTACCACAAACCGTGACATCAGACCAAAACGCAAGTCTCTGGTGTCATTTTGGTCCACATCGCGACCTGGGGATGATTTTCACGGTCAACAGGCCGTGAACACACCGAGGTCACGCCCAATGATCAATTGTCCGTGAGAATAAGCAAATAAACAACTACTGTTAGTTATGTCATTGCGGTACAATTATGAAACACTTACAGAGTAATACTCTAACCTAAGAATTACTTATAAATTTTTAAAATTGACTAAACAGACTTAGAATGGCATTTCTTAGGACCTGTAGAAACATTGTTTACCTTCTGTTGGGGGTATTATGAGCGAGGCCCAATGGGCGGCAGTTTGGGCTTCCAAGCAACAGAATTGGGGGGCAAGGCCTAAGCAAGGTGGGGGACGCATGAAGACAAGACACTAGAAGCCAAAGGAGGTCAGACAGTCAAGGGAGGCCAGGCTGTCAAGTGGTCCATCGTCTGCGGGCGCCTGTCACGTGCCAGAAGCCTGACAAGGCAGTTGGGATATCTGACCAGGAAAGTACAAGACATTAAATGGAGACAGTGACGTGGAGGAGATCAACCTCGAACTCTAGTGAGTATAAATAGGGGCAGCTGGTAGCATTTACACAGGTTGGATTCTTTCACTAAACTCTAGCTTTGAGACCCTTCTCTTTCTAGAAACTAACTTGGGCGTCGGAGGATTAACGGGCCCAGGCGCCCCCTCCGTGTTCGTGTGTGCAGGCAGGCGTCCAACAGGAACGGGTTCGTGAGTGTCGTACCGGGGTATCGCGTCTCAAACAATTGGCGCGCCAGGAAGGGGAGTATAACCAGGAGTCATGAGTGAGGAGGCGCCGATTAATGAAGAAAGAGAGGAAATCACAGAGGAACAATCGGAGCGAATGAGAGGGCAGGCGCCCGAGATGGATGAAGGCGAGGAAAGTGACGGCATGTTTCGGGGGTCTGAGGGCGTCTCGGTCACAAAAAAGGAATTGTTCAGGATCATCGAGGATCAGGACGAGGCGATCGAGGCGCTTCGGCGAGAAGTGGACGCCTTGAAAAGGAGTGAAAGGATGACGCCCAGCCCGACGAAGAAGAGGGAAAGAATGGCGGAGACGAAAAGTGAATCGGGGTGTCTGAGGCGCCCGAGCTTGTGGCGCCCACGTGATCATGGAGGGCCGGATGCTAGCGGGTGGAGCGGAGGAATATTGGGGCGCCTATCACGCCACTGCCCCGTGAGGCAGCCCCTGGCACGTAGCATACTGGCGGAGCCCGTAGGAACCAACATTCCCCCGCTCCCCACCTATGACGGAACCGGGGATCCCGAGGACCACCTTAACGTGTACTTCACCAAAATGCAACTCTACAACAGCACAGACGCCACCCTGTGCAAGGTGTTTCCGTCCACCTTCTCAGGCGTGGTCCTCGACTGGTATCACCAGATCGAAGAGGAGCGCATTGATTGCTTTGAGCAGTTTGCAGAGATGTTTTTGGAAAAATTCGCCAGCAGGAAGCGGCGCTCCTTGACCATAGGCGCCCTGTTCAAAGTTAAGCAAAAGGAGGGAGAAGCGTTGAGAGAATTTTACGAGAGGTGGCTATCCGTGGCCCTAGAGTGAAGGACGCCCAGCCGTCGGTGTTGGAAGTGTGTCTGAATGAGTGCACCACCAGCGAGGAGCTGTGTAGTTCGCTCGCAAAGAGAGACGTGGTATCCACGGAAGATTTGGATCACAGAGTGCAAAAGGTGATCATGCTCGAAGAAACATTGGCAGCCAGAAGGGCGGACAGGCGAAAGACAAGAGGGGAAGAAGTCTAGATGACACGGAGGCCGTACCCCCCGAGCGGTTCGGGGTATACGCCCGCAAGCCATCCCTCGCCAAGGAGAGTTGATGTGGGGCGCCCGGCGCCAAGGGGGGCTGGACACTTCGCTGAATACAACGACACCTTGAAGAACGTACTCCAGCACGTCAAGGAGAAGGGGTATCACATCAGGTGGCCAGGCCCCATGAGGGGACAACCCAACGAACGGAACTTGGATCGGTATTGTGACTTCCACCGTGAAGTGGGGCACCATACGGCTGATTGTTATCAGCTGAAGACTGAGCTACAGGGCCTGGCCGACAGAAGGATGCTTAACTACTTCGTCAAGAAGCCTGAAGAAAGAGTGCACCGGGCGTGCGTGGCCGGCATGGTAAAGGCGAGGGAAGAGCTGCCACCCCCGCCCTATGAACTTGATCAAGAAAAGGCGCCCGATCGCGTGCGTCTAACCATCGAAGCCATTTCGGGAACGATGGACTTGAGGAAAAAGATAGAGGCGAACCGCCGGCTGAGAGCGACGTCGGCAGACGTGCAGGATTCGATCGATATCAGCTTCAATAAGGAGCCAGAAGAAGCATGCATGCTCCCGTCCATGGACGCCTTAGAGATAAAGGAAGTGGTAGCCGGATGCAAGGTGAGAAGGATGCTTGTCGACAGGGGAAGCTCCATGGATGTGTTGTTCAAAGATACGGTGGTTCGCATGCAACTATCACCGGAGATGATCAGACCATCGGAGTCTGTGCTAGTCGGTTTTTCAGGGGCGCCCGCCAGAGTAATAGGGCGAGTGTGCCTGCCGGTCACCTTGGGAGATGGGGAGCAAAGAGTGACGCGCGCCATAGATTTTGGAATAGTGGACTGCCCATCGCCGTACAATGCGATCCTTGGAAGGCCCCTCCTAGCCTTATTCAATGGGGTGGCCTCCACTTGTCACCAAACCTTGAAATTCATTGCCCCGCAAGGGGTGGGCATGGCTCGAGGACGAGGCGCCCCACGTTATGCAAAGGAAACTGGACGGAATCGAAGGCACGTCGATGCAAGAATCAACGTGATGGAAGTCGTGGTAGAAGAGGCCCCTCGAGCCAAGGCTGCCGACGAAGAACTCCTGGTAGCACTAGATGAAGGACCTCCAGAAAGACACGTGAGGATCTCGGCAGAGGCGCTCGCTGAAATGAGGGAACGACTCATCGCCCTCTTGAGAGAGTTTGCGGAGCTTTTCGCGTGGAGTGCACTGGAAATGCCGGGCGTCGCACCCTAAACGGCCGTTCACAGATTAGCGGTCGAAGAAGGCAGACGCCCCGTGCAGCAAAAGCGCAGGAACCTATCGCCGGAGAAGGAAGCGGCGCTTAGGGTCGAAGTGGACAAGCTCATGGGCGCTAACTTGGTTGAGGAAACTTCTTATG